AAGGAATTCGATTAATTAATGCTAATTAAGATTCTTTTTAAAACAAATAGCCTAAAAAGTATTGTCTATTTTTACATTACAACTGTTGAGTACTGTACAAGTATTATTTAGAGTACAAGAGTAATCTACTCTTGTTATTATTAATAATGTTTATTCATATTTACTAAAAACTACAAAATTTTTCATATTTTTAAAGCCCAAAAAAAAAAAAAAAATGTTTGATTCTAGTTCTGTCTCTGTTGCAGCACCATTGCATATTTTCGACTTATCTGTATTTTCAATAATATCCTCAGCTTGCTGCAAAGAAATTGGTGAAATATTTTCAAATTGAACACCCTTGATATATACTTTACATGAAAATACATCTTCATACTGGGCAAGTCACTAACTTTAGTGCATTTACACTAGCACCATTGTCTTCAAACTTTAGCTCATTTTCTGCATATACAATTAAATAAGATTCATTTTTTAAAGGGCACCTTATCCAGAAATCTGGCACTTTTAGCTTTTCAAAATCTTTAAGCTGAAGGGATGAAGATGAGGACAATTCTGGCTCAATATCTAATTCCTCTGAAGAGAGAAGAGGAGGGTTGACCGCATTCTTCTTGTTTGTGCTATTAATTAAATTTCTGTTTGATCTTTTCCTTGGCAGTGCAACATTACTATAATGCTTTGGGTAACCTTCAAACTTTTAAGAACTGCATCTACAGACAGTATTGGAACATCACGGGAGATAACTTCACCATTCACTTGTTTCCAATTTCTGATTACAAAATGCTCTTCAAAGTGTAATTCACAAACCCTATGCCAAGGACAATGTCATGCAATGATGCAGAGAGGTGGCCGCATCAGATAGCACCGTAAGGGGGTGGCATAAAAAACATTTAAGGGGCAGAATTTCAAAGACTTGCATCATACTGAGAAAAATCTACCGCACAATCCTGCCTATGTCTGGGCTCCAAAGTCATTGTTTCTTTTAGACGATTGTCATCTTTTGGCGCCAAGAAGAGAAACTTTTTTCTGTGCAGGGTCGATACCGTTTTACACAAAGGAACAAAACACGTACCTGATTTTGATTTTTGGGTTTTTGGTTCTTGTTCAGCCATTATTTGATTAACATTTCCTATGGATTTATTTACTTTACAAACACAAATTTAACCACTTTCAATATTGTTGTATGAAAGGATATTATGTAGCCATAGCAAAAGTCGCACTATGATTGACATCAGCTCCACCTTTTCTGTGATGTCACTAAGAATGTATGAACCCAACTGTTATAATGGAGGAATATAAGAGCTTTTCACACTATATTTTCTAGCCACTGTAGTTTGCCTGTTTCTAGAGAGTCACCATTTTGTATTTTATTTTGACTTGGTTCTCAGTCCCAACTACTACCTACAAGTCTGGTTATTTTTTTATGTGCACATGATTTGGGCACCTAATACTCTGTGCCAAATTGCAACTCCTAACATGTACTCCTTCATACCTCAAAGCTGGTAACACAGCAGGCAGTACAATTTTATAAACAAGACAGTCTTGTTAATAATAGACTTGTATAATTTTTGAAAATATTACCATATAAATACAAAATTATTGGCTTANATTTTAATTGAATAAAATCGTTGATTTTGACGAGTTCCTGCTAGTACATGGTGAATTTACAAAATAAGACAAAATATTAGTTTAACTTAGTGATGAATAAACAAGTAAAACAGCAAAACCATATTTGGGACAAGACTATGTCTTGGAGACTCACTACTAAGCAGAGTCACTTTGACGCTCAAGGTGGATCTTGGGGCGCGTTCGTTAATAGCAGTCACTCTGCGTCTCCGCTACTACGGGAGTGCGTTGCTGTTTGTAGGCATTTAGGAACGACGGTGAAAGAAAGAAAGATGGCGGCGCCCGCACTATCGATAGTATCATGATGGAAGAATCTATAATTCTAATATATGAGCTTTTAAAGACAAAAGAAGAGTCCCAATTGTAAAATTTAACCATAAAATGGATTATTTGTTAAGAGCATTCAAAATAGCTACGGAAAAAATTTGAAAAGACACTTACATCACCGTGTGCACTAACTTGCGCTTTCACAACTTCTAAATTTTCATTCCTAAAACCATGTAATGGGCCCCGAAACGAAACTATCTGAGCCATAGAGGATGCCATGTTGCTTTCCACTGCAAACTACTGCTACAAGTGGCCGTTTTTGCCATTCGACGGCGCGCACTCCGACCGGAATTTAGGAACGCGTTCCGCAGGAACTTTTAAATGGATGTCGTTCGCATGGAGTTACGCGGAGGAATAAAAGAACGCACTCATGTTCTCATTCTCCAATCTTCTTCGGTATTGTTGCTTTTGGGCACGATCATTCAAACTTTGCTGGCCACAACCACGAGGTCGTCCACGATGCATTTTCAATGAAATTAACCCATCCAATTTCAAAATTTCTCTCCGTTGCATGTCGGCCCAGGTTGAATTTTTGTTGATGCATAATGAAAATTTCCCGTTTTTGAAAAAATAATTGTGCTTATTATATCATCCGAAATTTTTTTATTTTGCACAAACAATATACAGTTTAACCCAATCATAATGTTATATTAGGGTTGTCGTTAGATCCAATAACGTCAAATTTTTATCGGTTTCACGATTTTACTATACTAGATAATGTTAAAAAACCTACTTGTAACAACATAAAACCCTGTTTTAATGTCATATTTGTAGCACTTCCAAATTTACAAAATTAGATTACAAATTTTATTTAACAAAGAAAATACTACAAGTTCAGTCCTAGGGTCAGAGTCCACTTTCTAGAACGACTTCAGTAGCTAGAAAATATAGTGTTGGAATCAAGCTTATTTTCTTATTGGAGGTTACTGCAAGAGGCACTCCTGTCAATCATTGTGCTACACTGGCTATATCATCCTATGTTTATATTGGTTTTAAGTGGTATTTTTAAGCAGAGTAATGTGCTGTAGCTAAGTAAAAGAATTTAGATCAATAATAAATCATATCACAAGCAATCAATTATTATGTAGTATTATTTTATTAACATTTATACATGAAGGAATTCGATTAATTAATGCTAATTAAGATTCTTTTTAAAACAAATAGCCTAAAAAGTATTGTCTATTTTTACATTACAACTGTTGAGTACTGTACAAGTATTATTTAGAGTACAAGAGTAATCTACTCTTGTTATTATTAATAATGTTTATTCATATTTACTAAAAACTACAAAATTTTTCATATTTTTAAAGCCCAAAAAAAAAAAAAAAATGTTTGATTCTAGTTCTGTCTCTGTTGCAGCACCATTGCATATTTTCGACTTATCTGTATTTTCAATAATATCCTCAGCTTGCTGCAAAGAAATTGGTGAAATATTTTCAAATTGAACACCCTTGATATATACTTTACATGAAAATACATCTTCATACTGGGCAAGTCACTAACTTTAGTGCATTTACACTAGCACCATTGTCTTCAAACTTTAGCTCATTTTCTGCATATACAATTAAATAAGATTCATTTTTTAAAGGGCACCTTATCCAGAAATCTGGCACTTTTAGCTTTTCAAAATCTTTAAGCTGAAGGGATGAAGATGAGGACAATTCTGGCTCAATATCTAATTCCTCTGAAGAGAGAAGAGGAGGGTTGACCGCATTCTTCTTGTTTGTGCTATTAATTAAATTTCTGTTTGATCTTTTCCTTGGCAGTGCAACATTACTATAATGCTTTGGGTAACCTTCAAACTTTTAAGAACTGCATCTACAGACAGTATTGGAACATCACGGGAGATAACTTCACCATTCACTTGTTTCCAATTTCTGATTACAAAATGTTCTTCAAAGTGTAATTCACAAACCCTATGCCAAGGACAATGTCATGCAATGATGCAGAGAGGTGGCCACATCAGATAGCACCGTAAGGGGGTGGCATAAAAAACATTTAAGGGGCAGAATTTCAAAGACTTGCATCATACTGAGAAAAATCTACCGCACAATCCTGCCTATGTCTGGGCTCCAAAGTCATTGTTTCTTTTAGACGATTGTCATCTTTTGGCGCCAAGAAGAGAAACTTTTTTCTGTGCAGGGTCGATACCGTTTTACACAAAGGAACAAAACACGTACCTGATTTTGATTTTTGGGTGTTTGGTTCTTGTTCAGCCATTATTTGATTAACATTTCCTATGGATTTATTTACTTTACAAACACAAATTTAACCACTTTCAATATTGTTGTATGAAAGGATATTATGTAGCCATAGCAAAAGTCGCACTATGATTGACATCAGCTCCACCTTTTCTGTGATGTCACTAAGAATGTATGAACCCAACTGTTATAATGGAGGAATATAAGAGCTTTTCACACTATATTTTCTAGCCACTGTAGTTTGCCTGTTTCTAGAGAGTCACCATTTTGTATTTTATTTTGACTTGGTTCTCAGTCCCAACTACTACCTACAAGTCTGGTTATTTTTTTATGTGCACATGATTTGGGCACCTAATACTCTGTGCCAAATTGCAACTCCTAACATGTACTCCTTCATACCTCAAAGCTGGTAACACAGCAGGCAGTACAATTTTATAAACAAGACAGTCTTGTTAATAATAGACTTGTATAATTTTTGAAAATATTACCATATAAATACAAAATTATTGGCTTAGAATTCAAATTTAAATATAAAAAATGTGAGCAGAAAATTATCAGTTTTTAATTAATTGTAACAAAATTACTGTAGAAGTGTTAGAATTTTATATAAATCTAAATAAAAGAATGAATTAAAATGCTAAATATTCTAAATTAAAAAATTTAAATAATTTCAACGTAAATTTTATTCGTTAATTTAAAAATGAAAAGAATGGACAACGATACAGATGATATCCTAAACCTAACACGTGGGTCAAACAGAAATATCCGAATATATCTTGAATTCGAGTGTAGTATCAATTACATACGAAAATAAATTGAATAAATTATAATTTTATACAAATTATACCATACCGGATGATTTCTTAGTTGTTTTAGGTGGCATTTTTCAGCAAAATCAAAAGCTCTGAAACGACCAACTAACGCCACGAGACAAAATGGCCGAAACGTCTTGCTGCCAGATTACGCTCTAAATCTAGCAAATTATTTACTTATTACCGCCAAAATTACTTTATTATATTAATATAATAAAAAGCATTTTGATGAAAGAAAAAAAAAAGTAAAAATATAAAATTTTAAAGTTGAAAATTTAAAATTATATATACAGTAAAACCTGTCTATGGCGACCACCCACGGTTCCTTCAAAAAGTGGTCTTTTAGACAGGTGGTCTTCCAATACAGGTGGTGCTGTATTGGACGTTATACGTCCAATTTCCGTACGTATTTTGCGCACTTTTAACCATTTCTACTAAGCAAAACTCGCGGTGTGCAAAAATAAGCGAATTTTCTCAACGATAGGACTATATTGGTATTGTATTTTATTCTTATCGGATAACTCGAGGAGTCGTCGTGATTTTATAAGACAGATTTAATACCAATATTTTAAAGATTAATACAATAGTCGCATTTTCTCTATTATAATGCACACTTTCTTTTTTCCGATTTAATTCAACTTGGTTCTTTTCGTTCGCTCAGTTACGTGTATTACGTCATCGATATACAAGCGCGTCGTATCTCCACATCACTTTGGTTTTGGTATTCGTTAGTTTAATCTTATTTTAACTTTAAAAATACTGTACAGTGGAACCTCGGTATACGACCTTAATCCGTTCCCGATGTTTGGACTTATACCGAATTGGACGTATACCAAACCAACCTTTCCCATAAGAAGTAATGTAAAAATGATTAATCCGTTCTCGTGTAAAAAAAATGGCTGGCTTTAAACACCGCTTTCCTGGCTAGTTCCTGTTTCATTTTTCATGAGATCAGCGTGTATCTTTTTAGCTTTCTCGCAAATAATTGCTTCCGATACGCTGTCTCCAGCACTGTTTTTCAGTTATCCAAAGCAAAAGCAATTTCTCGACATGATCTAATGTCTTCGATCTCTGTTTAGAAATTGATTTAACCCCTTTCGCAACGTTAGCAGATTTAATAATGTCTTTATTTTTCGCGATTGTCCATATCGTCGTTCTCGGAATACGGTAAACAACAGTTAAAATCTCGAACACGCGTGCCACCTTCGTATTTCTCAACAATCTCTTTCATCAGTTCCATTGTAATTCTAGTCATTTTTTTAGTTTTCTGTCGCTTTTCATTTGCCTTTTTGGGATTCGTGATTAATAAAAATAATAAAATTTTACTTACGAATTAAAATCAGAAGAAATTTAACAAAGTTATAAACCGTTGCACCGCGAACGTCTAGTCTGGTCTAGTACACCGATAGTGCTACTTGTTCATTGATGGCGCGTATAATTGAATTATGTCGTATACCGAACAAAAGTCGTATACCGAGCAAAATTTGTTTCGTCCAAACAGGACGTATTCCGAATTGGACGTATTCTAAAGCAGACGTATACCGAGGTACCACTGTATTTTTTAAAATATTTTCTTAAGTACAATAAGAAAAATTACTGATTAATAATAAAACGATTTTATTATTTCTTCTCATTATACGATTGTCATTGCGGAATCGAAAAAGGGAGGTTGCCTGTAAAACTGATTTTTGCATTAATGCGTTTATTGTTTTTTGAATATTTTGCCTGCGAAAATTACTTGGATATTATTTTTCTAAAAATATCGTAGAAATAAGGTAGGTTGATACAGAAACTATTTATCGCGCATGTACTGTATATGAGCTTCAAAATAAGTAAATAAATAAAAATAAATTTTATCAAACGATGAGATCAGCCGATTAATTGTATCGTGTACAATATTTTATACCCCAAAGGAAAATACTGAAGGTCTACGATAAAATAAATTTCGTTTTCCCAAAGTTAAACTTCGCCGCTAATTGCTGTTGTGATAACTTTAATACGATCTTCTAACAACAGCACTTTGCATTTCTTTCGGTTTTTGGACAATTTCGAACAAACTGAAATGAATTTCCTTTGTTGTTAGACTAATTCATTAACAACTGTACCTAATTTCAAGGGTGGGGAAAAGTGCCCGAGGTGGGTTCGAACGAGAGTTTAGACTAATTCACTATATTAGGAGGGGAGAAACGTTGTTGAGATGGGTTCGAACAATAGTTTAGACCAGATATATTCGCGGAAGTAGTCGCTTATTACAGTTGTATGTTGTTTCGGACCAAAAATCGATGCCAGCGGTCGCATTACACAGGTGGTCATTTAATACAGGTAACTTATAGGAAGACTCTATGGATAAAGTATTCGGTGCTAGAAATTTTTGCCCGTTTTGACAGGTGCCCGTCGAATGGAGGTGGTCGCCTAAGCAGTTTTCACTGTACACCAAATCAATTCTAATAATTTTTCTTTAAACAATATTTATGAAGACATGCTTAACTACCTCAAAACCTAAACGCCCCGCTGCTTCCTCGATTTAAACTCTCCTTATTAATTAGCTAATAAACCCATTGCTCCAAACTTCCTATTGAGAGGCTCTGGACAGGTCCGAACCCTCACTAAAATTCGCGTTAAAATAATTGTTTTAGAAAAAAATATATAGTACAGTAGAACCTCGATTATCCGGACTAATTGGGGATGAAGGTAGTCCGGATACGGAAAAATCCGGATAATCGAAACAAATACTTTAATTTGTCTTTTAATGATAATACAACACGTTTTCTTTTCGATGACATATCGAAAAGAAAACGTGTTGTAAAAGAAAACGGTAATATTAAAAGTAAATTCTGTATTTAAACCGTGATCAAATTTTCAAGAAACAAACGTTCGTATTGAATTATGACTACTACTGACCAACGCTAACAGACTACCTATTGTTTAAAAGGCCCTCTGGTGGCGCAAGAAGACGGATTTTATAAAATAAAAAGCAGTTGAAACTGCATTTTTATGAATAAAAATTTGACAAACTA